TTCCTGATTCTTACGTAATGAATTTTACTTGATGAACGAAACGAAATCTAAAGCTGCACGCGCGTCTTCTAGGATTTCAACGAACAGCAACTCGGCCTCGAAATTTGAAAAAGGCTCCTTTCTTAAGCTAACTCTAGTATTTAACGTGTCTTCCCTCCTTCCAAAATTCGAAAAGAACTTCATCCAATTAACGGGACGTAGCAACATGACAACCAACTCCGTTTCTTGGCGCTCCTGTAGTCACGTAGGCGGAATTGAGAGAATTGTCTTATTTCAGATAACAATTTCGTACGAAAACACGCAATTTTTTGCCGATTAAGTGCAATCTTTTCGCTACTAAATTAGGTATGTCAAACTTTTATAAAAATAATCAAAGTGCCCATAAATTAAATAAGAACTGCCACATGATTTAACAAAGCATTTACATTTAACAATTCTAGGAAATAATATTTTACAACGAAACAAAACAAACCACTTGGATACAAATAGAAATGCATGCTCGCTTTTTGTTTACACTTAAAACCCAACCAGATTAATTAAATAAATTGAAACGAAAGTTTGATTAACGATTAATGACTCGTCATTAACTTCAGGCGTCTGGACCAAATCTAAACGTCAACATCAACATTGTTTACATAGCAATATACTTCTTTTTTTGAAATGTTTAAAAAAAGATATAACTCTTGCTCATATTTTGAAGAATTATGAAATTTCGAATAAACACACAATAATTAATCGATTGACAATGATAAAATTTATTCCGAAACACAATGAAACAAAATTTCCCTGCGAGAAAGAAAAGCATCGTTTTCTCCAGAAGCACCTTTGCTTTCTTATTTCGTAAATATTTCTCAGATTTATTTAATAAATTGAAATACTTTTATATACAGGATTGATGTTTAACCGAAATAACGTCTACATGACGTTGGTTACCTTTACACAACAATATTTACTACCTACTCATATTCATATAAAATAATTTTTAATTATGCTCGAAAGCGATATACTGTTAAATAGTTGAACAATCACCATTATAGGGGGTTGAAATAATCATCTCTTTTTGTAGGAGCTGATAGAAACTAAACTGAAATACGAGAATGACCATTATGAATATTTCCTATACAGACATATATTCCCTAGATTACCAGTAACAAATAGGTACATAAAAATTTCAGAATCCTTCAAAATATAGGCAACTTTGGAGCTCTATATTTTTTTTAAATAAAAATTTTCCAAAAGAGAACTATATATATCAAATTTATGTAAAATTGTATGATCTTCAATTTCTGATAACAATATTTTTCTCTACTGTACTGTACTGTACCAAAAGACAGTGAACTATTGTTTGTCGACTTTTAGTTAGAACCTTTTAATGTAATCTCACTTCCCACTTCATTATTTAATGATAAATAACCTAACTCTTCAAATTTCACACATATTTTTATTTTATTTTATGGCTAAAAGTTTGGTATCTGCAAACGCTACCGATCTACAGGGTGTAAAAATTTTATCATTTTTTAAGTCTTTTGTTTATATTTTTGAAACAGTTTGCTCAAATTTGAAATAAAAGTTACGTTGAAGGGCTTACATCATTGGTCATGTCAATGGTAGCGAGAATCTGCAGAATATTTTTCAGGGCTAATGTTCCATCTTCTACCACTGAACTTTTCAGTGCGCAACTGGTAGACAGTCAAATAAGAGTTTTGTTTTCTGATTTGTTTGGAAACTTTTGAGTCATTTTTTCTTATTTGCGACCGTTATCGAGAAAAAAAATAAAAAATAATTCTCGGAAGTAAAATTTATTTATTTTTTTTATTTGGATGAGCTTTTTTATTAGTCTTGAAAGTTCACATTTGAAATTGTATCTTGTATTTGCATATGTTTATAGATTAAATATTTAGAATTTAATTCTCGAATCGGTTCCAAAATGTTTTCCGATTAGATTGGCACTTTTTCACTCATTCAAAAAAAGCAGTTTAATTATATATATTCCTCAATTTTGATCATGACCGTTTTACTTCCAAAGTAAAATTTTAAAACTCTTTATTTTTTGAATCAAAAATTGTCCGATATATATAAATATTAATCTTCTTAAACTAAAAGCTCAAGCTTTTTGACTAGTAATAATTCTCGAATCAGTCCCAAATCTTTTCCCTAAACTTTGCACTTTCATCCTGTTTCCTGAATCATAAATTTTTGCTTAAAAAAACTAGCAGCAGCCGCTCAAGATTAGAAAATTTCTATTGATATTAGAGAACTCAAGTTATTCTATATGAAGTTTATTCATTCACTTATTTTTGTATAGAAAATGAAATGTGACTTTGAAACTGATATTAATTAAAATCATCTAAATCCCAGAGGTTTTTTCACTGCCTTTTGAGCCCAAAAGAAGCAAATAAAAAAGTTAAATATAGTATAGTTATCACCAGCAGAGTAGCATAAAGAAGCACCTCAAGGCATTTTACAGAATCTTTGGCCTGATTGTACATATTAAAAAAAAATCCTATTATTTTGGTTTGCCTTGGATAGTTTCACGTTTATTGCCCAATCCTTATTAAGTAAATTTTTCAATTTAAATGACGCGCCCGACTTACATTATAAACAAATTTATTCATTTTCTGTTTTTTTATCTACTTCTTTGTTTGAATTGATGTGAATATTTCTAATACACTGGCGTGTAATAGAGAAATATCACGACCGAACAAGGACGTTAATTTGTTGAAACCGTTCCTTGCGATTCTTGTCGACGATAACACATTTAATGCATACATTTCAAAGTCGGTTTATCCGAAATAGATAAGATCGATCAAGAACAGCCTTCTCGCTGTCAGACCTACACATGACAAACAGTATTAAGGTGGGCTTCATGTTCCGTTCTTCGCGATATATCGGTTACCGATACAGGTCAAAACAATGATTTGCAAAGAATCTGCATTTAAATTTGGAATTAGGTGTGCTAATTGCAACCATTAAACAAGCCTTTGCACTTTAGTTTGACGAACTTGGCAGAAAATAGCAAATCTCGTATCATAAGTTATGTTTCATCTTTTTTTTAAAGATAGGGTGTTTTGTGTTATGTTATTATTATGTTAGAATTGTCAGTTAATAATTCGTTGTAATTAAAATTGATTCACCAAATCGCGTACCGAATTGTTTTTGCACTGACAACATCCGGCTCGAAGGACCATGTACTGAATTTTGGCAGTGCAAAAACGGTTTGCGATTTGGTGAATCAATTTTAATTACAACGAATACAACATTTTATTAACTGAAAATTCTAACATAATTGTTTTTTATTCCATCACTTGATTATGAATAATTTTAAGTGTACCTACAAGCACAAAAATTTGCACTTAATGTATACCTTTTATTTAAATGTTAATTAAACGCACTTCCTTTACGGATCGATTAGATGAAATCGGTCCCCGAGGTGATACGTAGGATGTTTCTCAAGGAAACGCAGAAACGGATTAATAAAGCGCACGTAGAAAAAATCGTCGTCCATAAATAATCGATCGGCTCAGTGATTAGTTAGTTATATCATTGAATAATTATTATTCAATGGTTATATATAATAAAAACGCGTAAAAGAACGAGATTATTTACCACCATTTTATGCATTGATTTAGCACACCAGAGGGTACTTTTCATTTCTAATTCCTTATTTGGTACGACTAATAATCACATTAAATCATCGACGAGATTTTCTGAAATACATCTTATGTAATTTGTTTAAATTATATGAATTTTTCGAATTCCGAAATTTCTACGGGTATGGAGTGCAGTTTCTCTATTCCCATTTGAATATTCCCACTTAAAAAGTCGTAACATAAAATGGGTATTGATTTAATTTGTTATTGTTACACGCTCTCCATATAGAGCAAAGTGAGATTCCCTGTATTTCTCGTTCCCTTATAAAGAAACGCGAAGTTATTTGGGTCGGTATTTATACTTGTACTGCTTGCGTACTTATAGCGACATTTTCAAATAGGATTTCATAATTTTTTTCTTATACGAAAGGTAATTAATCAGTTCATTATAGTAAATTGAGGAATCCTAGGAAATCTTTATCCGCTGCGGTTCGAGGAAAAGAAAAAGTGTTTATCGGCAACATAAAATCGAATCAATCTGAAAGTATGAATCAATTTCCCTTTAGGTTGCCATATTTTCATTTACTAGAAGTCGTCAGAATTCCCCTTTGGAGGAAAAACGTTGGTTAAAATTTCACTACTAGATTCTACAATTCGATTGATGTATTGTTCCATCGTTCTTTAAACATGTTGTATAATGAGGATTGGGATTAAAGAAAATCTTTTTTAAACATATAAATAAAAATAAATATAAAAAAAAATATAAAAATATAAAAAAATTAAAAAAAAACGTGTTTAAAAAGATTTTCTTTAATCCCAATCCTCATAGATTCTACAAACAACAAGATGCAAAAAAAATCCTATAAAGACCAGGGAAAGTTTATGGGAAGATTTCAAATTCATTCAGTGTAAATGATCCGTGGCACATTCAGAAAAGATCCAGGAAACGTTCGTGAATGATTTGGAAAACTTTTTTAAAACAGATTCGGGACTGAGTTAACATATTCCCGAAGGATCTGAGAGAGATGCGACAAAGATTGAATACAATAATATTCAGGTTAGGATAATTATTTCTTTCGAATGTAGCACCCCCATTCAAGTGTATTGTTTCTCCCTGTTCTGATAATTTTAGAGTGGCTCAGCATGACACTGCTCCAAAAGGGGGGAGAGAAAAATGAGGAAAAATCATGCTATATAATAAAATGATAACTGAAATGTACCTCCTTCTTCCAAATTACCATGTGCTCTGCCAACTTGAGATCAATTCTACAAAAGGGCAAGAGAAGGTATGGTGTAAAATTACTAACCTTTGAAATCAGAAGCTGAAATTCTGGAATCGAATTTTTCGGCCCTAATCTTTCGAAGAAGATGATAAAGTCATGGCATGAAAATGAAAATTAAAACTCCCAATAACAGTACACCTTTAATAGAGTTATGAAATTAGCAAATTTGTTTGATACATTCGTTGTTTATAGGTCCAAAATTGATCAGTCACTGTGCGGTTAATCTGATTCCGGCTTATCAGAAGCGGCCCGTACAATACAAAGCAAAAGTCGGTATGGGCGTTCGCAAGAGTCGCGTTTTGCTTCAGCTTTTCTCTTGCAAGATTCCGCCTTTTCCAAACTGTTGAAAGTTAACTTTTCCGCAACTTTTTCAACGTTAACGCGCCCTTCTGAATCAATCACGCCAATTCCTGTATACAGACATTTCACGAAACATCTAAAGTTGGGTTCATCGGGAAATTCCAGAAATTTCATTCTGTCGACGAAATTTGGGTCCACTTTTGTTTCAACCTTACATTTTTCAACGTGTGGTTTAATGACGCTTTCCCACCATTCTATTTTTTCAGGGTCCACCTACGAAATTACTAAAGAATTCTCACTCACTTTTCAAACCTACCTTCAGAGACGAGATGAGTGGCACTATTAGCAGAGCTAGCAAAATCGATTTCATTCTTGCGGCTGATGAGATACCAATAAAAAGCACTATAATAATAATACTAATTACAAGCCCAGTGCTATTTATATTTAAAATTGGAACGAACTCTGCCCCGATTATTTGTACACAACTGATGACAGACGCAACAAAGGTGATTTTAAATTGGGCAACAAAGACTTTGCTTCTTAATTGGGTACTTAATCTGTTGATTCTTGAGAAATGAGTTACTAATGAACATGTTATTATCGGATGTTTGGAACCTTGAAAATTATAGTTTAGAGTGTGTCAACAAAAACACTTTTTTTCCAAATAAAGCAAGACTAGCGGCGTTTGGAACCCTCAATGCAAAATTTATGTTACCTCATTGTTTCTCAGCAACCATAACAGATAAGAATTCTCAGCTAGATCTTTGGTGTAAGGCTTTTTTGCCAAAAAAAATTTTGATATTGGAATTTCCCGAGTTTTCAAAACCATTTGGTTATATTAATGTTCAAAAAACCCCAGATACCAGATGTTGAAATCAGAGTTCTTTGCATCTTGATTACAGTGTCATCTTTGGACACGAAAATGTTTACAAATAGAAAAAAAGCAGGTTATATAGAAAAACGCAAGTTTTGGGGCCTTTGAGAGAGTTTGTATCGCAAATTTATAAAGGTGCATAAGGATCCCAGTACTGCTCTACTAAACTCCAACCGCGGTAGGGTTTTCTTCATTGGGGCCACTTTAGAGGTTTTTATTTGATCCTTTCCACAAACATCCTCTTGTGGTTGTGGACCAGTTAGCAGCATTTTGTTCTTGCTTTTTTCTGAAGGCTGAGGCGTCAAATACCACTCACATTTGCTCCCCTTACTGTCCCATTGGGCATTAAAATCGTTTCCCCTTGGCTTGTCTCCATTTGAGATGTCGTCTGGTTCGGATTAACCGGAGCTTCCATTGACAGGGCGAAGTGTGGGTGCAACTTGTAGAAATTCTTGGTGTAGGAATCATATCCTGACTCTTTTGGCAGGGCAATGATCTGTGAGTTTCTTCAGGCTGGATAAGGACCTCTCCACGGCTTTTGCGAGATCAAACTGCTCCGTGATCAGCCTCTCCATCTCCGTACTTGCTATTTTGGGCACTTGAAACTCACTTCATAATGTAGCACTTCACTGGTACCGGAACCCTTATGGTAATGCGGCCCTCATTCGTTGAAAGGCTCGAAGGACTACATGTAGCGTTAGGGTTGTAAGGGCCAATGTACACTAATCCGGCTCGAAGGTCAAAATGTAGCATTAGGGCTGTAAATCCTATATGCCCAAGAAAACTTTGGTCGGGGGTGACCCAAGCTGGGTAGGAGAGATATTTCTTGGGATCCTCACCCTCCAGATGTCGTTACCGCTATAGTGACGCCATGTGGGGTATGCATCTGTTTCCAAAGCTGTTTCTTTTGTTGTCTCTTGGCTTATCTGGGCTTCCACTTCCACTACACCAAAATTTATTTATTGATGAGTTTTTGAAATAAATGACCAATCTCGACGACACGCGCCAAACGTCTCCACTTCTCCAATATGCAATTGTGGAACATCCTGTATCTTCGTTATCAGCACCAGCACACGTGCGTTAATTAATTTTCGCCTAATAATAAAAGTACTTATTAAACGACCAGATGTGTCTTTCTAACACCTATACAAATTGAACAACTCAAAAGTGATAAAATTAAGACGAATACTACGCAATTACAAACAATTCTAAAAGGAAAAACCAACACTGAAATACAAATTCAAATGAAACGAACTAAGTGTTTATTTCGTAAATAATCCTCCAGATTTATTTAATAAATTGAATTAAAATATGATGAACATTTACATAGATAACTCAAAATGCGAATAAAATTTATTTGGATCGTCGGTTCATAGATTAAATTTTGAATGCTACACGTACGACATGAACGGAATTAATAAAACTAGTGTAACTAAAACAACCCAGCTACGCTTCGAGGTCATTATGGTGTTCATATCGAACTAGTATCAAAAATCAAAAATCTACCTGCAATATCCGCATCCGAAATTGTATTATCTTTAATATATCCTTAAAAGACTTATCTCTGACAAATTCCCCCCATAGGAAAAACGTTAAAAATTTATTACAGAGAAATCATCTCAAGGGCCTGTTGTTAGTGCTGGGTTTTTAAGTGAGACGCTTATGGTTTCTTCCAATCGTCGGATCGCTAGATCGTTCGTCCGTCCGTAAACCTAATTGCATGAAATTCTACTGGGCATAGCTTTGGCGATGTAATACGCATTGCAAATTGATACTCCAGCACATCGAGAAATGCACATAAGGGCTCCTAGCATCGATATGAATGCATGCTATGCTGAAATTTGGACTAGATACCTTTTGAAAATTGAAACAGCCAAATTTTGGCAACTTGAGGTTTAGTAATCGCCATTCGAAGCTCCAAAAGTTTGTTGGTGGATTAAAAAATCTGATCAACACATTCAAGATCAAGTCAAATTAAATTGAGTAGTTTCCCATAAAGTACAAGGATGTAGCAGTCCTTTGTTGACGCGTTGTTGTTCGTGATTTTCTTTGCGAAAAATGCGTTTACAAGAGAAAAAGGAGACAACACGATGACGAGGTAATCGAATATAATTAATTTAATTATTTTCCAACATGTTTTGAATTTAAACATCTCAACAAGTTTCCCTTGCTTGAATGCTTCTATATTTATATCCATATGGGAGGTCTACTACATATAATTAAGAAATCGTTGTGTTTACATCTACAATTCATACCCATTTAACAACTAACAAACCGCCATTATAATTCCTTATTATTGTTAACTTTGCATATTTTCTAACTCCTACAATTTATCTCCGCAATAAGCGATGGCAGTTTTTTTAACCCGCACCGTTGCTTTGTTTTACCAAAATTTTTCAATTATTTCGGCTTGCTCAACCGTCATGACCCACTTAATCTCATTCGATTCTTACGAGACTCATCTTGTGAAATTCTTCTAAAAGAAGTCAACGTTAATTGCTTTACTATTTAAAGTAAAATGCAGCGCACGTAGATACTGCGATGTTTCTTAATTAAATTCTTTAGATATTTCTCTTAAATTGTTCCAGATTGCGTGCGGTAAAAATTTGTTAAAAACTAGGCGAGAGTTGTTTTATTTCAAAATGACTTTTAAGAATTGTATTAAATAGAATGGAAAGCCGATTTATGGGAATATATGTACATTAGTTTTTGAGGAATGAATTTTGCTTTACAGACGCTCCAGTTTAAGATAAATCAAAAACTTTCCCAATTTTTCCATCTAATCTTTTATTCCTATACTCGTACTACTCAAAAAAAGTCGATTTGGACTGACATCGGCTATTTAATTTGGAACTTTAAGTAGAGAGCAACCGATTCTATACTACTCTTTATCTTTTTCGTGAAATATTTACCATATTAGTCCTTTAATATACAGGGTCTTTCTTCTAAAAAGACAATTCGCCTTATATGGAAAGTGAAAATGATACTCTTATAAAAAATTATACACACACACGGCCAAGAACTACTTTTTGTCATTTTTCCCGTTAGACCGAAAGTAGGTACCAGCTTCCTTATTTTAAATGGCAACCCCCATTTTTTATTCCAGTTTAGAAGACGACCATCTTTTACCGTTTTGGAGATATTTGTGTTTTAAGAAAAAATTTGACAGTTAAGGCGGAGTAAAAAAAACTCTTACCTTGCAATTAAACGAAACTGTAGAAATTACTGTGCAAGAAAAAGGAAAAGTGACGGTGCGGTAATCCACAACAAAATTAAACGGTCTGAATGCAAGATAAAATTTAAGAAACATATCCAAATTTGATACGGGTGAAACACAAAAGGCAAAAGTAAAAAGATTTTTCGTTTCGACTAACCACTAAAAGATCGATGATTTCAATACGATACGGTTGCAGTTGCTTTTGAAATAATCACTGATGATTTAAGCCTTCATTAATGTGTGCAAAATTCTTATTGGTCGGAGGTCCTTGTAATCTTTAGGGCATCGATTTTTAGGAATTGGGCTAACAAGTACAGTTTTCCAAGCTGTAGGGAAAATGTTAGAAGATCAGCAGGCAATCAGCCCTGTGATGGGTCAGAAACCTCAAACTTAACGTGCAGGTCAAAAAACGTTATTTTGCGGGCAGAATAATGGTTTCTACGGACAGAGCTGGGCAGTATTCGATTTTGTAAATACTTTCTAGTATTCAAATCCTTTAAAGTATTCAAATACTTTGTAATTAAATACTTTTATGGAAGCACTATTTGTATTTGTAACTCAAATTCTTTCACAAATATTTAGTATTCGAATACTTCGCAAAGTATTTGGATACTTCGTAAAGTATTCGAATACTTCGCATAGTATTTGAATCTCGATTTGAATACTTAACCTTCCTTTTTTTACCAAAAATCGACTACACCAAAATTTCTCGGGAAAACACTTTTTCTTATTAATTTTGGTGCGTAGAATCCAAAACAATTCGTACTTTTTCTATTAGACTTCTCAATCAAAAGTTATAGACTAGAAACCAATTCCGAAAGAAAATTCAAAGGGCTGTAACTTTTGAACTAGTAGCCCAATCTTGGAACTGTTTGAAATTATGGATTCTACAGGTCACATTCTATAAGTAATTTTTTTTCCGGGTCGATCTGAGGCAATTTTTTTTGCGGGCCTCAAAAAAGGCAGTGTATAACCTTCCTTTTTTACCAAAAATTGACTACACCTAAATTTCCCGGGAAAACACTTTTTTTTATTAATTTTGGTGCGTAGAATCCAAAACAATTCGTACTTTTTCGATCAGACTTCTCAATCAAAAGTTATATATAGACTAGAAACCAATTTCGAAAGAAAATTCAAAGGGTTGTAACTTTTGAACTAGTAGCCCAATTTTCAAACTGTTTGAAATTATGGACTCTCGATCGATCTCGATCTCAGACAATTTTTTTTCCGGCCTCAAAAAAAAGGCAGTACTTTTAAGTTATTCAAATGTTTGAGAACAATTTAGAAATGTTTAGGGAAAGTTTCCATTGTCACAAAATCAAATATAAAAATCCGATACATCTGAATACCGAACTGGATAGTCTTACGTAACTTAAAAGCAATAGAGGCCTTTCTTATATCCTTAAGACCATGTGTACCAATTTTC